CCCATAGGAAGCTTGTCTTATTTTCCTATTTCATGTGATCTTTCACTGCGCTGTACTGATCAAGGAAGCTTTGATGTACTTGTTTCTAAAGAGACTTTGATGCTACCTCAACAATGAAGCATTTTGTAGATAACCAAATGGAAGGCAAGTTGTAAAAAGCTAATTTCATTTCTGTGCTGGAGTTGATAAGGATGACATCCATGAAAAACTATGTTTACTTGTAGACAGTGAAGTTAGATCTCTTCCCTCTAACAAGAAGCTATTGAGGACTGGTTTGAGCCTGAGTACAACTTGGATTTCTCTCCAGTTGGCTGGTGTGAAAAGAGGAAGGCCCTCTGACATCCTCCTCAAACCTCTAATTTTTCTGGGAGTGAACCAAAAAAGTTCTCTTTCCTAGACTTGCAGAAAGCTCCCATGTTTTTCTCGCATGAAGGAGATCTAAATTCACTGACAAGGAACATGTTCCTTTTCCTTATTCTGCTATTGCAGTCTGAGGATTAAGTAATGCATAAGTTAAACCATATACAAAAGAAAATGGTGTGTTTAGATGTTTATTTGTATGTTTACCTAATAATATATATTCTATACCAAAATGGCCAAATATGTTTAAAAGACAAGATTAAGGAAAAGCAAAGGTTGTTACTACCAACATAAAATCACCTTACAGTTTAGGAGAGTAGAGCTAAGTCTTCCTCACAGCTGACATCAGTTATCACACAGGTAGCCCAACCTCACAAAATAAGCCTCTGTAAAGATGTAAATATGTTTATGTTGTGTGATAATCCCATAAGAAGAAGGTTAATTTTAAGTATATATTATAGGTTCAAGTTTTTAGGTTGAGGGTGAAACTGTTTATTCCCATAAAAATCCTTACATTCCACCCACTAAGCAACATAGAAATATTTTCATAGTTACAGACACTCATTTTTTGTGCTTTGGCTACTTGTGGCTAAGAAAACAGATTTATGCTCAGGCTTTAAGGTATCAATCAGTGACAAAACTGAAAAAAAAAAACTCTGCTTCCATTTCATGGTCAGCTCAGCTGCTGCTTATCCCAAAAAACTGTTGAGCTGGGAACCTGCACTCAGACTAAATAAACTTCACATGAAAGAGGGATGTTAAGAAACTGTTAATGCATTTTGGACCAAATGAAAGTAATATCTGTAGTTAAGCATCAGTAGATACAATAACCCTTAATTCCCTATCATCAGTATTCATTTTCTCCATTCTGTTCTCTGTGCATTTACTAAGGTGCTGACAAGGAGAATTTGTCCACCAGTCAAGAGTTAAATCTTTAGTTGGTGATCATTTCCTTTATTCTCATGACATTAATGTGTGATTCAATGGTGATATTGTAAGGAGAAATTAGATGCTACTCACTCATTGTGGTTAAAGGGTTAATATATAGACCTTAGCTCACATTAATTTTTTTAAATTTTTCTCAAAATTAACAGTCAATTAATTTTTTGGTGTCTGATTGATTTCAGTATCTGTATCAACTTTCAGATGCCAGCTTGTAAAAACTAAGACAGCTTCAATTTTCATTTGCTGATTATTTCTAGTTTGAGAAGGGCTGTTCCCTTTTTATATGTAATAATCAAAATAATTTGATAGTATTTAGAAGTAGCATCTGTTCCTGTGATAGCCATTAAACAGGTCAAACCTCTTATCTGTGTTATGAAGAAATGAACTTCATGAAAACTGTGATATCTATATTATCTTGCCAAACTGTAACAAGAACATAGTTTGGTTTTATCAAGTGAAATGATGATGTAAATTGGCCTCCATAAAGAATTTCTTGAGCCAATGTTTCCAGCATTAGCCCCTCATCTGAGCAAATGACAAAGAGCTAATGCTAATACATCAGCTTCAGGTCAGACTATTTCAAGTCAGCTTCAGGTCAATTTACATTATCAACATATGTGATACAACCAAATTATCTTGTAATCCCCCTAGCCCCCCCCCCCCCCCCCCCTCAACTGACACAGCAATACAGTTTCACTTTTAATCAAAACTATAACAAAAATTCTCAAATGTGATTGGTTATCACCAGCTTGATTTGAGCACTAATAGGACGGTGTACCATCATGCTTGTAATTGGTCAGTGTAATAGGACAGTTAAGGGTGTTTGCACAGTTGTCTCGCATTTCACTAAGTTAACTGTTGTTTCTTTTCATGAAAATGTATAACAGATGTCTAGTTTCTTTCTCAAATTTTGTTATAGTTTTAATTGATTGGTAACAAGACTTCCTCTCATCCAATTCTGTCTGTAATCATACTTATGATAACACCAAATCTGACTGCTGCTTTGCGGTCCTCCAATTTTGTTAATCACTCATGACTACCTTCAATATACCAGCATATTCCATTTACATTGAATGCCAAAAGCAAGCTAAGTTCCAGCAAATTAAACATGCCAGCATCAAATGACAATAATGTTATATCTCCCTGTCTCTGACCTATATTACTTTGACCCTCTACACCCTAACATCAGTAAGCATATTTTCCATACTGCTCTCTATACATTTGTTATGGTATTGGCAAGGAGGATTTATTTGATAACCAAAGCTACTGTAGTTGGTGATCATTTTCTTCATTCTCATAACCTTGACGTTTGCTTCAGCAGTAACACTGTAAGGAGAAATAGGATGCTAGTCACTGCTGGCATTTAAAGGGATAAGAAAGAAAAAAAACCTTGGCATGCTTATAATTGTTGCTAAAGAAACCACCTCGTAAGGATACACCTCTTGCTTAAGACTGACAGACCCCAACCTGTTGTGATGGTAAAATATAATCTTATACTACCTGATATCAACCTACTTTAATTTGGTTGTTGAGGAATAAGTGTGAAAATGGAATTTTATAAAACACAGTTAAACACAATCTAACCCTGATCAAGTCTTGGTACTTGAGAAATAAGACATTAGGATCATCCCTGTGCCTCTGCCACCCAACACATGATCACTCCAATTACCATACAACACTGGAATACAACAATTCTAAATTAAATTGTTCTTCAAAATATAATCACACCCAAAGCTTAATGTGTCTCTTCTAAATATATCAGAAGAAAAACATGTAGGCAGAACAGTGAAGTACAGTTCAAGTAAGGGCCACAGGGGAAGAAAGGGGGGGGGGAGTTTATGCTTAAATTATGTACCTTAACTTTTAAAATTACACCAAATCAAAGAATGGTTTTTTCATCCAAAAAGGTTTCTGGAGCTCATCCAAACCATTTCACTCACAAATCTCATTAATAATTCTCCATACTGTCTGTCACACAATTCTTAAAATGTAAGTTTGGAGAATTTGGTTTCAATCAACTAATAATCCCCTAGATATTACATATAAGTGTGACGTGCTGTGAAGTGAGAGAACCATCACTGAAGAAAGCTTTTTTTTTTCGCCATGTAACGAGCGTGGAAAAAGATAAAAATTTTGGAATAGCTCTTCCGCTCCTTTCCGATGGTCCACCACCTGGCCACAGAGGCTTATATATGACACATGTTCCGCATAATCTAGAACCATTACTAAAATTGACTATCGCGTGACAGAGAAATCGCACGTGACACTGCAAGTCTCTTCCTTTTTTTCTTTTGTCGGCCATAAGGTTTCTCATGAACATTACCAGTGTTTTTGCTCATTCTTCCATGTTATCGACGCCGTCGACTGTGTTTGAGACACTGAGAAAAGTACTACAGAACCGAAAAAGTTGATCATTGAATAAAGATGGTAAGTTTCTGAAGAAACTATGATGGCCTTTGACCTCTTCAAGAGGCCCCCTAAAATTGAAACTTTTCCACGAACTACGATTAAATCTACCAAGGATAGAAACCCCCCTATAAAAATATACGATTAGGCGAACTTTGCACAATTGGGTAACGCGTTACTATCTCTTACTGTGACCATCGAAAACTTCGCGTGACCGCTGAGGCAACTCGTGACCAAAAGTGCCACTTTCCGCCACAGCACCAGCGATGACGTCATGGGAACGTCCCTAATTTATTTCTCGAGGGTGAAGCAAAATATTGCATGTACTTTCGCACCCAGATTTACAGCTGTGAGTCGCTGAGTTGTTCTTCTGTTTGTGATAAAACAGGTTTGTTGTTCTTAACTTTCTTAAGATCCGTTTTCGAGCCTAACAAAGTTAAATGAAATGTAGTTTATAGCTACCGTTCAAGTAGTCTTTCGGGCGCGCGTTTGATTGCGAACCTACTGTTTGTTGAGAAGGAAGTAATCAAGCTTTGGTTGAAAATAGTCGATGTGAAGTAACTTCAAAAACAAAATAACATAACATAAGTTCAAAAAAACCTTGGTTGATTTTGTAATGAATGTGTCTCGAGACGCGCCATTCATAATTATGCGTAGCCGTTTATTACTATGCCATTGTTGAACTTTCGTTTTCGATTAATATCTGTAATAATCTTTGCGCAGCTAACATCACATCTCCACAACTCTTAAAATAAATAGGAACTGTTATTTTTAGGGTAAAAACCAAATCTGGAGAGTAAAAACCAAATCTTAGCTCTTAAAGCTCATGGTTTACTACCCAAACAAGCCTAGTTTATCCAAACACTCTCTTAGGTCCTACTTCTACTTCTCACATCCGAATTGACAACTTTACTCCTTCTGAATGGAAAATTATGATAAATACAATATTCAACCGATACACTGCTTATGAAAACTACCATTGTTCTTCTAAGTTAAAGATCTTTGAAAGGATTCACCACATATTCAAAACACTTATTCTTCGAACCATTTTTTTACTACTGACAACACATACATTTTTCATGGCTGTGTAACATACAAGTTATGAAGGAAGGAGCCCTATCCATCATCAAAAATACCCTCCCAATTCTTAAAATGTCGAAGCTGGATTAATGTTCCCTTTCCCCTCCCTCTCCAACCATAATCAAGTGAGATGTATTGGTTCATAATAAATAAATTAGCCAGAACCTCTTTCATACATGGCCTTTCTCATTTCTTTATAGGTCAGGAAGACAATGGCCACAGCTGCTGCTCCAGTGTCATTTTCATCTACTAAAGAGACCACCAATTATGCAAGACTTTGTCGTCTCCTGGTTGATGTGGGATCTCATGTGCTGCGAGACAAGTTTGACAGCATTCATCCTCCAACAGATCTTTACAAAGACTTGATAACACATCATGCCACACTACAGCTACTTCAAAGGAAGGTTATAAATCCAACACAATGGGGAAACCTCTACCCTCCAATACGCACCTCAGTATCATCAAAAAACTTTGATATAACTCTTCTGACAGTCCTACTAAGGAACATTTGTAGCCTAAGTCCACCAGCCACTGGATGGGATGCACTTCCCCCTGCCACAGATATGAGCTCAGAGGCTGACATTTCCCAAGTGAAATACTTTAGAAATACAGTGTATGGCCATGCTGAGAAGGCTTCTGTGGATGATGCTACATTCCATGAGTATTGGCAAGATATCAAAGATGCTTTGGTGAGACTTGGAGGGCCTGCATATGAAGTAGCAATTGATAATCTTAAAAATGAGTGCATGGACCCTGTATTTGAAGAACACTACAGAGAACTTCTAAAGGAATGGAAAAGAGATGATGATAACACCAAAGACAAACTGGATGAAATTGATCGGAAACTTGAAGAACTGATATTGAAAGCTTCAACAAGCACGCCATTGCCAAAAGGTAGATTTTAAATTTACTAATTAAGAGTGGTGAGAACGGAAGGAGAGGGAGAAACAAATTATAATAGAGAAGGGGGAGGAAAACAGAGGTGGACCTAATTAGGACAGAGGAAACTAAGAAAAATCTCCCAATCTTGTTATTCAATCATATTTTCCATTTCACTTTCCATTTCTCCTCTTTATTTCACTTTTTTTATTCCTTATTTTGTTTCCTTTCAGTTTTTTTCTTTTTCTTCTTTCCCTTGATTTATTCATATCCTCTTTACAATTCTTCTTATTTGAAGTATAAAAGGGAGAAAATTAAGCAATCAAACACAATTGCAAGTTTTTGTTTTATTTATTCAGTACCATAATGAAAGCAAAATTAATCCTTTATTTACCTAGTTTATCTTAATATAATTTCAGACGTTGAAGAGCCAACTGAACTTATAGAAAGGATTCGCCAACTTTACCAGACACGCGAAGGACGACTTTCACCATTTCCATGGTATGAGGGCTTCAACTTTGACATTAATGATATATTTACCAGGCCAACCATTGTCAGGCGAGACAAAACTAGACGAACAGCTGCAGAACAGATAACCAGCATAACTGGAGTCTTTAAACCTCACAGTGGAATCTTCAAGCCTAGAACTGTCCTGATTGAGGGAGAACCTGGAATAGGCAAGACAACTTACTGTCAAAAGGTAGTGTATGACTGGGCCAATGGTAAAGAAACTGACCCCTCTTTCCCAAAAATCAAATTGGTTCTCCTGCTCAAATGTCATGACCTGTCAGGAGATATCTGGGAAGCAATTGATGATCAGCTGCTTCCTCGAAACATTGATGAAAAGGCAAAAGAGAACTTCTTCAAATACATCAATGCCAACCAGTCCCAAGTACTACTGATACTTGATGGATTGGATGAAGCACCATCTAATTATACAAAGATGTTTTCTGACCTAGTTGAGAGCAGGGAGCTTCCAAAGTGTCACATCATTCTTACATCCAGGCAAGAAGGTAGTGTCAAGATAAGCAAGTTTTGTGACACCTTACTTCAAATAGAAGGATTTGCTTCAGAGAATTCTCACAATTATATCACGCATTACTTCAAAGACTTAGAGGCACAGGGACAAAACCTTTTGCAGAACATAGAACAAAGTATTGAACTTGGAGAACTAATTGCAAACCCCTTATTCACAGCAATGCTTTGCCTTGTTTATGAAGATTTAAACGGTGGTCTGCCTCTAAGCAAGACTCAGTTGTATCTAGAAATCACAGAATGCATTCTTAAGAGATTTTGCCAAAAACAAGGATTGTCTCACAACAATGACAACCTAACTGAAGTGTTCAAGGAAGAGCTGGAACAATTGGGAAGTATAGCCTTGAAGGCCTTGAAGAAAGATAAAATGCATATTGAAGACAGTGAATTTCCAGGAACAACAGGAAAATCACCTCTATTTGAATTTTTATCAGTTCAGTCTAACAGCAGCAAAAGAAGATCCCATACATGTTATCAATTTTCACACAAGAGTTTTCAAGAATTCTTTGCAGGTCTTTATCTCTCTGACCAAATTTTGAAAGGGGAAACAGACTTTGAGGGACTGCTTTCAAATAAACAAGGAAACTTAAAGTCTCTTGAGCCAGTCCTTTTGTTCACAGCTGGTATTCTCAGCTATAAAAGTGAAAAGGATGCCTGTTCTCTTTTAAAAATGATTATCAAGAAAATTAATCATTTCCAAAACTTGAGTTTTCCAAATTTTTACCTGTATTTTGCTGTAAAATGCATTAGTGAATGCTCCACAGAAAATTCAAGACTTCGATCCCAGATGATAAATTTATTGGGAAAAAACCTGGAGCTTCAAGAGGTGATGATATCTGACAACAGTTTCCCCATTAAGTTGTTTGTTGAGGCCCTTCAAGTTAACAAGTCTTTATACTTGAGAAATAAGACATCGGAATCATCCCTGTGCCTCTACCAGCCTAACACATGATCACTCCAATGACCATACAACACTGGAATAAAACAATTCCAAATCATCTAAAGAAAGGGCCAGAAGGGAAGGAAGGGGGGCGGCAAAATGCTGAAATTGTGTACCTTTGCTTTTAAAACTACACCAAACCCAAGGATGTATTTTTTCATCCAAAAAGGTTTCTGGAGTTGACTCTAACCATTTCACTTACAAATCTCATAGATAATTCTCCTGACTATTTGCCATTCAATTCTTATGATGCAAGTTCACTTTATGCTACATGGAAACTGGAATAAGCTCCAGCTGGATGGACCAATAGGCTTAAGTACAAACTTTACCTTACCTTCATCTCAAAGATAACCAGCATGTAATGATTATGGAAATGAGGGGACTATGTATTCAATCAAAATAATCCTTGATTAATTATATTGTCTTGAAATATTCTGCATCCACAAGGTCTTTCATTTCTTTCCTTGTCACCCAGATGTGATCAAAGTATCCTTCATGTAGTCTGACACAACCTGTTACATAGTTCACATTGTAGAAAAATACCTGGGAAACAAAAAGAAGATTTTGAGAACAGACATTCTTTTGGCAAGTTAACACAACAAGTTCTGAAAAATGTTTGAGTGCATCTCAGTATTATTATTGGGCCTGAGATAAAGAAAACTCTGTCAAATCTGAGATAGGTTTTAATTTTGTTTCAATTAGAGGAAAAGAGCTGGTTTCATTCTTTTCAGGACATAAGAAACATCTCTTTATTCCCAAAAGCATGAACAAACTAAAACTTATATCATCAAGGTACCATATCCTTGTCTTTAGCTTGGCACCCCTTCAGCTTTAACAATGTTATCTTTTGAACACTATTGACCTCACTTTGTCATTTTTGTTTTTGTACTTTTTCATCACAGCAGTAAGAAACTGAACTTTAGGATAAGTGCAACAAGTTTCACTTAAACTTTTTGATGCTACCTGAAAATAAAAAAATGCCATTTTATTTACATTTATTGATAATATTATTAAGAGTTGGACAAAATCTTATTGCCCACTAAACCATCAAGTGTGTTGAGAAAGATGACTAGACATTTTTTGTTTACAGATAAACCCCAAGATGAAACCATTCAAATAAAAGCAACTATACTGTGCATGTAACTTTTTTGTTAAGTAGACTATGTTTAGTTTATTTTGCTCTGAATATGGTTCAGCTGCTCAAAACATAAGGAAAAGGCTGTGCACATGACCATTCCAATGATAACCACTGTCCTTTAGAATTGTTCATTCCAGTTTTACTAAACTTAAACCCCTTAACTCCCAAGAGTGATTAAAATGTAACTTCTCCCTCTAATAACCATACATTATCCAGCAAAATGGCAACAAGAATCCTCAAACTTATCAGGTAGAAGTTATTATCTTAATATAACACTAAATTTTCATTATTAAATTATGAGGAAATGTGTTGCTGCTAGTGGGGAGAATCAACAACCAAATCAAGAGAGTTAACCCTTTAACTCCCATGAGTGACCAAGACAGAATTTCTCCTTACAATATCAATACAATATCACTGTTGATTTATCAAGACAAATTAAATTTCATCATATGCACAATCCACTTGATTACATTTCTAATTGTGGGCTAGAGTCAAACCTTTGGTTACAGACATTATTTTTAAGATTTCCATAAAAGAAGAAATTGCTATTCCCATCCCAGTTGTTAATAAAGCATTTAGTGATAACACAGGATTAAAATATTAACATTTCCTTAATTTCCCTTGAAATAAAGATTATATCAGGGGTTTACATTTTGAGGGATTTGCCTTAGTGAAAGACAAAACTAAAGAAAAAAATGTAGACAATTAAAACAGTCTGAAAAGCTTCAAAACTAAATAAAAAAATTGTTGGCTAATCCCAAGTTAGCTTTAAAATGCTTTGAACAAATCTGCCCAATTGTCAAAATTGGGTTGCCTGATAACCAACTTTTCTAGTTCACTTGCTGTCTGGATAAAGCTCTAAGCGAGCTACAGTTCAATCCGTATCCCAAGAGGCAGTTTGGTTCCAGAGAGTATCAAGGGTAACAAAAGACATTTTTATGGTAATTTCGATGTTTGAACCTCTCAGAGAGATGATGTGATGCAAATTATGTGATATCTCTATGTGTAATATGGCTTCTCGGCTAAAATAGTATATTGACTGGCATGTACCAGAGGCACATACCTGCAATAAAATAGGCTCATTTATTGAGAACAGTCACAATGCAAGATGCAGGCAATAGTGCCAGTCAACATTGTGCATGAACACATTATTAAATAATTCTTTTCTGTTTGTGATATCTTAGGGGAAGCAGTAATCATCAAGATCTTTTCACTTGGTTTGTAGCTAAATTTAATCTTATTGGCATAAACTAAAACCCAATAAAACAGCAAAACAAAATGACTGAAACAAAACAAGCAAAACAAGCTAAACAAGGAAAATGAAACAGCCATAACAACTAAAATGAAATGACCAAAACAAAACAACCAAACAAAATGACTTCTATGACCAAAACAAAACCACTACAATGATCAAGACAAGTGGAGGATAAAATGTTGTAGAACTTGTAGATTTCACTTCAGATATTCTCTCACATTTTTAAAACCTTTTAAATATTAAGGCTGTCTCACAAAACTTTTTTCCTCTCCACACAAGCAGTTGAAACTATAATTTGATACTTATATGTAGTTTCTTGGACAGAATGCCAGCCGTATCAAAAACCAAAGCATATCTCACAGAAAGAAGAGGAGGAAACAGATAATGGTATTCAATGACAATGTCTATGTACCTAATTTTTTCCATTTATTTCTTTTTTAATTAAGGTTTCATTGACAACTCACGCCAAGCAGGTGGTAATTGAGACATAACTGAATTTCGCCAATGAGGTAGATCAGGAGTAGACCATAATTGAAATGAGATAAATATATCAGCTGGCACTGAAATTAAATTTTCTAGTCATTTCGGTCGTTTCGGTTTGGTTGTTATGTTCATTTCATTTCAATTGTTTTTTTTTGTAGATTCAATGGTTTCACCTATTTCATTTTGTTTTGCTCATAACCGTTGTTTTGTTTTGCTTGTTTTGCTCCTTTTGCTTGTTTTACTTGTTTCATTTTGGTCATTTCATTTTGCTGTTTCAGGTTTTAGTACATGCCAATCTTAACAATCATAACAACCTTTCTTTTTGACTCCATCATTCCTATTGCCATACTTTCATCATCGTCATCATCCTTCAGGTTTTTCTTCCGTTCTTGAATTCCTTCCCACTCTACTTCATCTTCTGACAGTGCACTGTGCTCAAGTTCCAGTTGATCTTGAAGTTCCTCATACCTTTTTTTTTCAGTTCTGATTTCTCTTTTGTGATTCGTGGCAAACGTTGAACACAAACTGCACTGAATATCCTTGATATCCTTGGTTTTGGTTGAACTGTGCAGAAGTTCTTGCTAGTGATAAAATCTAAGAGAGAAATCTCCTCTGTAAAATCCAATATTTGAATTCATAATCTCATCAGTGTATTCGCAAGACAAAATCCCCCAAAGTAGACAACCAATTTTCGAACAAACTGCCCAGCTTACTATCCCTTTTAAGAATTAAACTGCTCTTACTCGTTATTTTCACGCCATCCCTGACCGATAAAGGTTAATCCCTTGAAGAAAAACGCCCCAAACCTAATCTCGCAAAATAAGCTCTCTGAGCCGCCATTTTGAATCGCTTTGCAACCACTCATTCTGGAACGCCTGGCTTAAAATCAAGCATCATGGCGCTAAAGAAATTAAGATGCGTGACTTCACTCGAAAAATTTCATCAAATGGGGTCTTTATTTTTCCTCCATGATCAAGGACATACAGCAGAGAGCTCTAGAAGTCTTCTTACAAGCATTTTGAACAAAGACTTTGAGTTTGACCATATTCGAGTAATTTATCCGCAAGCTCCAGATATTACTTTCCAGGTCGCTCATGGCGGACTTGAACAAGGGCTTTGGTAAGAGCGGAACACTTTGAGCCCCACTGCTATGGAGAGGATGGAATCGATTGATCACTCCTGCAGTTTGATTTGCCATTTGATTGATCAGGAAAAATCTCGCGGAATACCACTGGATAGGATCGTCATTGGCGGATTTGGTATGGGAGGGAATCTCGCTATGCATGTAGGGTTCAGGTATGCGTGTAAGAGGGTCATGACTTACAGATATAATATTCGAACTCAATTTTTGTGCCTTAAACTTTAAAAAGTCGATGATATGAATCTAACACCCCAAAAAGACATAATGTGCACTGATCATGACATTCTTATGGCATAGTTAACTTGCAATCGTAGTTCACGCGAAGATAAAATGAACGTAACGTGGGTGACATTTACATGGCGTGTGTGTGTGAGTATGTGTGTGTGTGCGTGCAAGAGGGACATGTTGTGAAGTGACAGAACCATCACTGAAGAAAGCTGGCTGTGCGGAAACTTTACCGAAAGCTGGTTTCATTTTCGTCATGTCACGAGTGTTGAAAAAGATAAAAAATTACAGGTTCCCATAAGAGAAGCGAACCTCAGATCTTTCGCTCCCGCTCTCCTATGGTCTACCACTAAGTCACAGAGCCTCATATATGACAGGGTTCATATGTGACCACAGGAAGCCCAAGCTTCAGTTGCGAGATGATCATCTTGCAAAATAACAGTCATGGCAAAATTATAATAGTTTGTATGAGAATATTTATGACTGCTCTAAGGATTAAAAAAATAAATAAAGTTCTCATTAAAAATAACTCACCTTACTTCCAGTACATCGCTTATTGTCTGACTGTTTACTACATTGAAGGGAACCCATTTTAGCAAGTTATCCATTTCTAGGTTTATAGTTACATATGAGAAGCCATAAGGGCTTTTCTTATGTATGTAGTAAACCTAGAAATGGATAACTCACTAAAATGGGTTCTTTTAAATATAGTAGGTGGTCAGATAACAAGCAATGTACTGTGGAAGTAAGGTGAGGTATTTTTATTGAGA